AGCGGGCCGGGGCTGCCGGCTGCGGGCTCCATCTTGGCTGTTCCACACCCCCAGCTCAATTCCCGCACTGGAGCCGCGGTGCCACTCTCGCGAGATTTCTCCCAGGAACGCTCCCCGGTCGCCATATTAGGTGTGGCGCCAAGGGCCGCCGCCATCTTGGCTGCCCAACACCTCGCGAGATTTCCTCTGCTCGACGCCTCACTTTTTTCGGTCCTTCTGGTTTCCACTTATTTCAGTCCCAGCTTCGGTGTCCTTTATCCTTCAGTTCCTTCAGTCATTTCAGTTGTCCCCCAACTTCCTTTAACATGGCTTTCGTTGCATTTGTCACTTTTACAGTACTGTTCAGCGCTTAGGGGGATATAGTGAACAAAAGGAACCCGGTCCCAGCCTCCAGGGAATTTACTTCACAAGGGGTCGATATGTTAAATGAATCAATAAAACAGAGCTCTGACAAGCACTCATTCATCATTTATTTGACAATAAATGTCTCCTTTAATCTCTCCTCTATACTTGGTTAATTGCACCACATAGTGCCTGTGGGAGACAAGGAGTACAGATAGATGAGAAATGGGTGCAGGGAAGAAACAAAAGCAGCCGTGATGAGGGAGGGGGCCTGGCTCTGTTAGGTCGGCCGCCCTGGGAGGGGAAGCCCAGGGTGTGATCTTGAATGAGAGGAGGGGGAGGGGGAGAGAGAGAGAGAGAGAGAGAGAGGCCTGAGTTTAGGGACAGGAACGAATGAGCCGGGAAGTCTCGCAGGAGGGAAGGCCAGGGGATGGTGGGGCCTTGCAGGGCATGAAAAGGCATTTGAAATTCATTCTAAGTGAAATGGGAAGCCGGTGGAGGTGTTACCGGGGAGGTGTTGCGGTCTGATGTCTTTAGGAGAAGAGACTGAAGAGCTCCAAGAGTGGATGAGGTTGTCGACAGGTGAGGCGATTACAGATGGAAATGATGGTGGTTTGCATGGGGTGGAGCACTGGGTTGCTATATTTCTATATTGTGTAGGTAGATGCGACAGGATGCTCAGAGGCTGGAGAGAGGAAGAAAGAATGAGTCCTAGATTTTTGGCTTCAGAAACTGGGTGTGTGGTTGTATTGCTTATAAAAATAGGAAAATCTGGGAGAAAGAAAAACTGGCTTATGGGGAACATCAAAATTTCTGTTTCGGACATGTCCAGTTTGAGATGCTCATTGGACCTCTTCGTGGTGGCGTGTAGTAACTGCGTTACTGTGCTGTGAAGTCCTTCAAGGCACGCTGTCCATCTGTCTCTCCAGAATCTCATCTTGCTTGGCTCTCCACACCCCCAGCTCAATTCCTGGAGTCTCTGTGATGCAACTTTTGTATGATTTCTGCCTGGGTCCCTCCTAGTAGGTTCTTTCATGTAAATACGCATTTCATCCCAGATGGGCTGGACCAAGTTCATTGGAAAAACTAAGGAATTTGCAGGCAAAGGACCAATACTGAGGCTTCGCAGATACAGTCAGCAAATCCCACACAACCCACACACAACTGACATCTAGTTATAATAACTAGTTTAGTCAAGTTCTAAGACTGACCTACCACAGCCTCAGTTACCTGGCAGGGAGTTCAGACCTTAAAGACCCTATGCTGTTTTGGCTATATTTAGAACAGAGAAGATTTTGGTTCAGTAATTTCACTTCTAGTAATAGATCCTCAACTGTATCCTTAAAAATGCCAGCCAAATCCAGAGCACAAAGGCCCAACTGCGCATCAGTGAATCTTAGGGCCCACGAGTGGGTGAAGTGTAAGTGGCTCTGGCTTTGGGAAGCAGTGTGGTGCACTAGGAGGCAGCAGGCCCTCTGGGTTGTCAGGACTACGCAGGAAGCATGAAGACAGCCATGGCATCGGCAGTTTGGGTCTTCCTGTCCACACCGTTTCTTCTGCTAAAAGAATTTTGCTGAGAAATGACATCCTGAAAGTACTCTTGGGGAGCCTTAAGGTGACAGGAGAAGGGCCCTAAGAGTCAGAAAGGGGTCAAATCCTAGCTCTATCAACTGCACGGTTACTCTGCAGAGATATTTAACTTCCTCATGGCCCTGAGTTTCAGGTCTAGCACAGGATCTGGGAATATATTTTAAACCAACTTCATATGTAACTTCAATACTAGCACCTGGTTTGGGGCTGTTTCCTAGAATCGGTATTGGCCAGTGTGAAGCATGGATCTTGGAGTCTGACTATCTGCGTTAATTCCAGCTCTACCAAGTGAAGAGTTGCGTACCTTTGAGCAAATTACTTCACCGTACTGTCTCAATTTTCCCATCTATAAAATGGGGATAACAGTCGTACCTACCTCATGGGATTGTGAGGATCAAGCATGCTAATTGTGTAAGACATACAGAATGGAGCCACACACCACCACATGAATGTAACTCTAATTATTTGAGAGCTACAAGCCTTTATCCACAACTCCAAAATTTAAAAAAATTCTAAAAATAAAAAAAACTTTTCCTACTGTTTGGCAAAAATTAATTTGGAAGCCCAAACCTCATCTGAACTGGGTGGCTATTAGTTATTTATCCCTTATTCTGTACACTTAATACACTTAATTGAAGAAATATTCACACACTTGATATGGAATGGTCCTCCACATTCCCCTAGTAGGTATTATTTAATATATTGTGTATTTCCAAAAGTCAGAAATACTCTCAATTTCAAAACACAGGGGTTCAGAAAGGGGTTGTGGACTTATATTTCATTATCATTTGTTGGCCAGAGACCGTGTGTGACACACCAGACGTGAGAAAATGTGCCACCTGGTGGTTGAAGTGGAGAGCCGTGGTTAAAGCTGAGCGGGGTGAGAGGTAAGCAAGGTCTGAGGATCCCCAAGTAGGTGCCCTCTGGCCCACGATCCAGAACAGAGGACTGGTCCCAGCCTAGAAAACAGGTTCTAATGAAGCTTTGCTGTTCGACCAAGAATGACACAGACTTCCAAGATGGTCTTATCGTTTTAATTGACTTTAATGATTATTGCTCATCTGCAAGGATTAATATTGCATTCATTAAAAATCACTCCGTACAAAATAAACTTGTTCCTCCCAAGTTGCTCTCCACATGCTCCCTCTAGGCCGGACATGTCCCCACAGTGTCCTTGTTACATGGCTTGACAAAGACGGAGCCCTTACCTATTGTTCCTATGGACACAGAAATAGATCTGGGAGCAGGGGCGGCCCAGAGGGCAGTAGGACCTGGGCCCCTTCCCTCTAGCAGAGCTGGACACCCCTGTTGGCCAGGTTACTTCCCCTAAAGGATGTGGTGTTCTGATTGGCTGGTTACATGCCCTGGGAAAGGGCTGGAACCGCTAACATCTACAGAGAAGCAAGCATGGTCACACTGGCAAGGAGTGGGAAGAAACAGGAGAGGAAAAGGAAAAAGTTTGGCAAGACCATTGTCCCCTGGTATGATATTCCTGTTTTAATGTCTGTCTCTCTGATCAATGGCGCGAGAGACGGCAATTCCTAGCACCTCGCACTAATCCTGGCCCAGTTTTGAAGGGTCACAGGCCAGAGCGAGTTGAGGATTCAGGGTCCTGGGGCGTATATACTTAAAGCGCGCGACCTAAAGCTCACATGACCATGCAGAGACGCTGGAGCAGATGCACGGACAGGGATGCAGCTCTGTGGCTGCGAGAGCCTCGTTGGGGAGTTCAGAGCGCGAGCCAGCGCGGCTGATCACTTTCTCTCCGCACAAGCTGCCCGTTTAAGATCTTAGTTCAGAAAGTTTTTGTGACACTTGTCAATCAAAAGTGGTACCACTTCTGCAAAACTAATGTTATATGGGGCTTAAAGTCCCAGAAAGTTATCTGGGGCTGGCCTTCCCTCACCGTGGCCCAATGTGGATATATCCTTCCTCCCCCCACTCTATCTCCCTTTAAATATGTTAGGTTGCAGAGGCATAGCTGACCAGAAATGTGCTCTTGAGGGATAAATCCTAAAGATAGAGCTCAGTGCTTTAACGGTGAGTAACGGTTCAAGAAATTTGCCTTCAGCACAAGCTGTATAGGGCAGAGCTGCGAGAATTGGCTGTTATGGCCCCAGGCCGCCGAAGCTATAAACTGTGGGCTAGAAACAGGGATTTAACAGAGTTTGAGACCCACATTGCTCTTGACTCAACTCGGCCCTCTTAACACCAAAGCTTTAAAAGAAACACTGATACCAACTAGCCACCCAAGCAGTTTCTCAGCGTTAACACTAAACATGTGTCTTACTTTTTTGGTACAACAGAAATAAATGCTGGGGGACAGAATTCAACTTAATAGAATGCAGTCTGGTTAAAAATGTGAAAAATGTGAAAGTCTGGTGGGCGTGGAGGAAGGGCTATACTAATCCACGTGGACCTATTGGATCTCAACTAGCAACACTCACTGTGCACGTATCTGAACCAGACACACCACCTTCACACAGGACACAGGGCTGGGACATCTAGGGGGGAACTGACATGCACCACCTACGACTGGCCTACCTGGCTGGTAGGTCCCATCCCTGCTCCTCTGAAGAAGTCAAAGAGCACTGATTCAGCAGCTAAGAAGTGGGCTCTTAAGGCAATTTAGACATTGCAGATTGTTCCAACTAGAAGGCACCTTACATTTCCTGTGAGTAAGGTACCCAGTTAAGACTAAAGTCCCCAGAAATGGGAAAGAAAGACCCCTTTCTGGGCTGGGAGAATAAAATCCTCCTTTTCTGACTAGGGTGAGGACCCCTGAACCTCAGTTTCACCTAAAGAGCCATGAAGCAAGTTCCTGTGTCATCTGCAGAACTTGGATGATGAGATGAAAAAACAAGAATGAAATTATAGAAAGAAAGAAAAAAAAAAAACACCAAGAGGAAAGGAATAAAAAGAAAATAAAAGTTATTTAAAAAAGTTTCTTGTCGAGTTGTATGGTTCACGTGGACTGGTCCTTGGCAACATGGTCCATTAGTATCTGTAAAGAGAGATGGATGACTTAGCACTGTGTCTTCCACGTGGGAGTCCCGGAGAATCAGGACCAGACACACTGCCTGGGTCCCTCCCGGCCAGGCTGGGTCCCTGCAGTCGCTCCCCAAGAATCACGCTCCCCTGTGCTTCCACCCGTTGCTGACAATGCCATCTCTGGTCTCATCTCCTGCTCCATGGTAACAGGAGTCGGTGGTTTTCAACACTGACTGCACATCAGAATAATCTGGGAGCTTTTACAAAACCAGCCTGGCCCCATCCCAGACCAACTCTATCAGAGTCCCTAGCGGTGAGGCCCAAGCTCCAACATTTTAGGAAACCTTTACTCTTTACATTTGCTAGGAGATACAGCATTTCTCTGCCTACCCCGTTAGTGCGGGCAGAGTTCCTGAACTCGTCCCAATCAGGTAGGACGTTAGCTTTAGTCAAGGAAGCTGGCAGTCGGCTTGGTTTAATATCGGGGAAAAGAGCTTTTTCACTTGCTTTCCCCCAAGTTACCTGTAATAATTGGGTTTGAATGGCCCATTTTTGTTGAGTCCCAGATATTTTGCTTGGTCATCCGTCAGCTCTGTCAGGTGGGCATCAAATGATGGCAGGTGCAAGCTGGCAACGTACTCATCTAGGGAGAACAAGGGGGCGGGAGCAGACTCCGTTTCAGACATGCCTCTTGGGGTACGCCCTCCCGACTTCCATCTGAAGCTTCTTGATAACGGACAAGGGACAGAATACCTTCGGAGACTCTACAGCTTGAAATGTGCTTACAACCCTCGGCTGCCTTTCTAGGCAGGGAACGTCTCCCAGTCTAGCCAGAGTGCGTTTGGAAAGCCACCTCCGGGACGGCAACACGGGAAGACCTGGACCTCCCCGTCCTTCTCTGGCAAAGCTGTGGCCTCACCTCAGAGGCATGAACCACTGTAGCAACTTCCCTAACCGGACTAGAGTCACTCCATGAATCACAGTGGGCACCGGGACGCTCAAAAGGGCCTTGTATCACCGACATTTACTTAGGGTCAGGTCCAACAAGGCCTCTAATCTTAGGACCGGGCGTTTCTAAGGCCGCTGGCACAAACATTACTTTTCCATGATAAACTTCCTGGGCTATACCATATATGAATATGATTTAAAAAACAACAATCTCAGGTAAGCTATTGGAGGTGATGAGAACCAGAAGTTTTTTAGCTTTAAGAGGACTGATCAACTGGGCTGATCAGTTATAGTTGGGGGGATGGGCACCACCATTCAGGAAGGTAAAGAACTGGAGAGATGTACAGTGTCACACGAACACAGCACAGCTGTCCCCTGGAAGACAAGAGGCTGTTTGCATGGCTGCACAGAGCAGGACAGGAAAGCCCACCTTTGTTCTGCTTCTCACTGTGGTCCAAGCTGCACTCAGCGCCAGACCGGGGAGTTTCCTGGACTTCCCCGGCTGCGCAGAGGAAGAGCACCTGCCCACACCCTTTGTGCTGAGCACTTCTTCTCAGTAGCTAAAATTCTCACTACATTCTGCCATGTAGGCAGTGTTATTCTCACTTTACCGATCAAAAAACAAACCAACCGAGGCTCATGGAGATTAGAACGTGTCCTGAGGCCCAAAGCCTCAGTGTGAGAACAGGGACTAGAACCTGCTCTGGCTCCCATGCCTTCCACGGTGCTCGTTTGACCAAACCACATCCCAGGCCGGGACCAACAGGCCGGGACCAACAGGGGTTTCTACGGGATTCACTCACCCATTTTCTTGGGCAGCAAGTACACGTCTTGCTTGTAGCGTCCCTCGGGTGCGTTGTAGAGCTCTATCAGTGCCAAAGCCTAAGTGGGAGGAGAGGGTCAGAAACACAAACCCTGCGCAGACGGCGACACAGCAGCGCCCTCTCCCGAGACCGCTGCTCTGGGCCCGTCCACTCGTCGCAGTGTGAGAGGCATGATGTCACGTACCTGTGTGGTAGCCGTGATGGACAGCACAAAGGTGGGGACTGTGGAGCAGCTCAGGTTGAGCAGGCGGCCCTGGGAGGGAAAAGGGAGCCCTGGGTGAGGGTGCAGTCCCACCGCAAGTGCCAAAGTCAGCCGGTCATGCAAATGAGGGAGGGCCCTTTCTGCCCTGGACTCAGCTGGTGGAGGAAGAGTTCCCCTGCCAGGCCAGGTGTGTCTTGCTTTCTGCAAGTCCTGAGTCTGACTAGCCGAAGACTCAGTTGCGGCCAGGAAGCAGTGTGTTACTTAGTCAAAAGCAGATAGTTCTGTGAGTGATTCTATTTTGGGGACCAGACCATTTGAGAAATATATCGCTATGCAAAGACAGAGGCCCGGGAAACAGGCCCACTGTTTACGCCCTCCCCACCCACCCCAGGATCTAGCTCCAGGCGAGCACGGCTCTGGCGGAGCCCCGCCCGGCGTCGTACCTCTGCCAGCAGGATGACGCGCTTGCCGTCTGGCCAGATGACATGGTCCACCTGAGAACGGACCCGCTCCCACGTCAGCTCCGGGGTGCGCAGGCTGGTCTGAAAGGCAGACAGCACAGGTGGCTGAATGGCTCGAGGGAAGGAAGAGGGCAAAGGCCCAGGGAAATGTGTGAGAAGACTCACCACGTCAATTTCCGTGTTGGAGTGGCCCATGTTGCACACGATACAACTGTTTTTCATGCGGTCCAGATGCTCCCGCGTCACTACGTTCTTGTTTCCTGAAAGAAAAGGCAGGCGGCGGAAGAGATGCAGAACAAGGCGCTGGGAGCTGTCAGTGAGAACGTGGAGGGGAGGCTCACTGGCAGTAAGGGGCACGTACATGAGAAAAGACATGTACGTTGCATAACGAACAGCTCTTCAGGCGACGTTATTGGTGGTAAGACCGCGCAGTGCACGAGCCACGGGGAGAGCTCTTTGTTCTGAGGACGTGCCAAGGCTCTGAGAGCTCTTCCATTCAGAGCCCTGACCCCGAGTGTGGCCTTGGTAAGTAAAGCCAGTCTGACCGCCGTGGAGACAGCCCGCGTGAGCACTCCCGCAGGACAGCTCGACACTCACCTGTGCAGGTGATCACCACGTCCACTTGCCGGATGACTTCACTGAGCTTTACCACCCGGAACCCGTCCATGCTGGAAGGACAGGAAGGACACTGAGCAAAGCCAGGGGGCAGGGGCCGGAAGCTGCCACTAACCACGACTAAAAGTTCCTTTCTCAAGTCAGATCCAGTGCCACCCCACAGGGACGGTGAGTGACAACTATGCTCAACGACACCCACTGGCCTCCTCAGACTCCCCAAGATTCCACCCAGGAAGCCAAGAGGCCCTGGGATTGCACTGGAGGAACAGCGTGACCCCAGCCTCCTCCTCTGAGGACTCTGCAGGGAATGGTTCATGTGATCACTCACGGACTCTCAGAAACAAAGCAAGCGGGGTGAACGGAGCACCGTGCTTACCAGGCCTGCAGAGCGCAGATGGGGTCGATCTCTGTGATGTAGACGATGGCTCCGAGGGCCTTGAGAGCAGCACAGCAGCCCTTCCCCACCTACAGAACATGAGAGAGCATCAGGCCTCAGGTCCACCAGGGCTTGGGCACCAGGCAGCAGGCTCTGTGGGAGGCGGGAACTAACGCCCTGAAGTCACCAATCATCTCGAGAGCCCTGGCACGAAGGCTCCAGGCCAGGCAGAGTGGAGACAGGTCCAGACTAGGTATGCTGCGACCTTAGTCAGACATTCCCTACTGCGTACAAGGGCAGGGCTTGGGACAGTAAATGAGATCAAGGGAACAAAAGTGTTACCAGTAGGGAAACGAGGCCAAGAAGAGCAACTGTAACTCTAGTTTCTTAGTCCAGAAAGACCTGGTGACTCTCATTTGAGATGCATTAAACTCAAGGACAGCCTAGCAGCACAGGAACTTCTGCGGGCCATCGCTGATGACAATGCAATCCCCTTCACCCACCCTAGCTTAGAGACAGGCAACTCTGTGCCAGTTGGAGTCCACCCCTCACTCCACTGCCAGGTGCTTGTGGGGCTAAAATGCGACATAGTCCCTTGAATTAAGTCTCAAAACAGGCTGTTGTTATAAATGGGGGAAATGGCCCTCGCTGGTTTGTCTCCGTGGATAGAACATTGGCCCGCAGACTGAAGGGTCATGAGTTCGATTCTGGTCAAGGGCACATGCCTGGGTTGTGGGCTCAATCCCCAGCCGGGGGTGTGTAGGAGGCAGCCAATCAATGGTTCTCTCTCATCATTGATGTTTCTGTCTCTCTCCCTTTCTCTCTGAAATCAATAAAGAACATTAAAAAAAATGGGGGAAATGATACCAACATTCCATCCCATAAGACAAAGTGGTAACATCTGAACTTGATTCATTTCATATGTCTTCATTCATAAATCTGAATAAAGGACTTTTTTAAAATATATATTTTATTGATTTATTACAGAGAGGAAGGGAGAGAGATAGAGAGCTAGAAACATCGATGAGAGAGAAACATCGATCAGCTGCCTCCTGCACATCTCCCACTGGGGATGTGCCCGCAACCCAGGCACACGCCCTTGACCGGAATCGAACCCGGGAACTTTCAGTCCACAGGCCAACGCTCTATCCACTGAGCCAAACCGGTTTCGGCTGAATAAAGGACTTTTGCTATTGTTTTGAGATACGTTATCTAAGAGTATTTTAAACCTGCGCCAGTGACACCACCCTGAGCACGCAGCCTTCACGGAGCATTTCTGGTAAGTCCATGAAAAGACAGGCCCTGCGGCCCTGCTAGTTACCTCACCGTAGCCACACACCACCACCTGCTTCCCACCAAACATCACGTCTGTGGTCCTCTTCAGGCTGTGGAGACAGACAGGGCTCAACTCCAACACTATTAGCTCAAACACAGTCCCTCGCACAGAATTCAAAGTGGGGAGGCAAGCCCACAAGAACTGGAGGCGGAGAGGCGGGGCTCCCTAAGGAATGGACCCAGAGGAAGTGCAGGGGCCACGACTGGAGGACTGACAGGGAGCACTGTGGCCCGCCCACGTGCACGCCCGTAGCCTGATATCCGTGCTCTTCAACCTACCCGTCCAGAATGGACTCTCGGCAGCAGTACAAGTTATCAAACTTCTGTTTGGTAACAGAATCATTGACGTTCATGGCTGGAACACAGAGCTTCCCCGCTTTGGAGAGCTGATACAGCCTAAAGGAAGAAGCCACAAAAAACAAGACCAGTTAGCTGGTAAACAGGACGCGTGGCAAATCTGCCTAATCCTCTCCAAGCTCCATGCTGCCTCCCCAGCCTGACATGCCCACGGACATTAGTAAACAAATGATTTCCTCGTCATCCCTCCTCACTTTCCTTGTCATTCCCCCTACCCCACCCCCACCCCGTCCCCTTTATTTGGAAGGGAAAAAAATCCTTTCAACTGAAGAAATTTACTTCCCTTCCATAAAAGGGGATATATTTCCTTAGGCAGCATCCTCTCAATCGTTACCATGCCTACTGCTCATAAACAAAGATGATCAAAGGTTCTGATTCGGTTCCCTTATGCGTGAGAGCAACGTGCCACATGCCCCCGACTGAGAACGCTTTTGCGAGCATCTTTAGGTCCTCTGGCAAGCTGAGAATATTTTGCCCAGTTTTATTTTTTGTAGCATAGCTGACATCCAGTTTCACAATAGAATTTTTTCCTATTTCAAATATGAAATTGTAATACAATATCGAATACAGTTTTTCAAGACATAGTCACTCCCTACCTCCCAACACTGGTTGAGAATCACAGTGGAGTAAGTGGGAGAGAAAAATGTGAACTAGAACCTGGAATAACTTCCTTTTAGGGTCTCCTGGATTTTCCAAAGTAAGAACTCAACACCTACAGGTCTGAAACACGCCCTGCAGCCTGAGAGCCCAGAAGAACTCGCTGAGCAAGGACACGGGGCGGCTACTCCAGAGTCTGTTACCTGTGCACACCAGTCACGCTCTCTTCCACAATGCCTCGGATCTTCTTAAACACGTTTGGATACTTCTTATAAACCCAGTGGGTTAAGTCTCCCCCATCATCCAGGATCTACAGAACAGCCAGAAGACTTCTATGGGCATTCAGGCTGCTAGAGCTGGGGGGACCTGCGAACCACTTTCTGCACTAGTGAGCGAGCCCTGCACGTGCTGGGAGAGCGCTGCTCCGAGCTCCGGGAGCAGGCTGGGACAGTAAGCAGTACGATTTGTCGGTGTAAAACGGTTAAAAGGGTTCCTCAGTTTGTTCTGGACTCTAGTGAAGAGTATGAGGCTATTCACACACTCATTTTTAGCTGAGTCTTGACATATATAGCCCCTTTCAATGCAAAAGGAGTCGGGGCAGGAAGGAAGAAACGAGACTCCTACTCCGCAGAGGTACTGCATCATTTCCTGCTGTCTCATTCTGCCCCCACCGGTGCCGTCAGTACTCAGACCAGTTCTCAGACCCATTCTGAACAGGCAGCAGGCTAAACACTTTGGCAACAAAGTAAGTGTGTCAGACCGAATTTCCAAAACATACTCAGGGACCCATGCTTTGAGGGAAAAAAGGCCACAACTGTCTTGTCCAAGTGTAGGATGAGCAGGCATGATTACCATGTTGGCTTGCCACCCGTCCATGTTCACACAGCGGTCAATGCACCACCAGAAGTCATCTTCCGACTCGCCCTTCCACGCGAACACGGCCACGCCTGCACAGAGGACACAGGTCAGCTGCTGCTCCTTCGGGGCAATCCCAGACCAACATCGCTCTCTGGAAGGGCTACAGAAACTATGCTAGAAGGGAAACAACTCAGGAAGGGCCGGAGTCAAAACAGCGCCTCTGAGGTAGAACCCCTCGTCCACGTGGCCGAGCAGGACAAACGGCGCTGTCCAAGTTCTCAGGGACGAGGGAAACCACTTCTGACAATGTTACAGTTGGGTTATAAAACTGTGTGCATACTGAGATGTAGTTCATCTCTGGAAAAAGTGAATAGAAACATTTTTTAAATGGTCAAATTGTGTCTGGGTAGCAGGATTATGGTGTTTTATTTTGTTTTGGAACCTTCTAAATTTTTTGCAATAAACACCAGAAAAGAGTAAATAAGACAAACAACAGTGTTGTAAAGTTGCTTTCTGAGCATTCTAGGGAGATGCGAGATCCTTAAAGAAACTTCACGGTGATTTTCTTTTGACCATTTTGACAAGAACAATCATTTGATGTTTAACTGAACCCACGAGTGGCCATTATTTCCACAGTGACAGTGAACACCACCTTATCTAACGTGCTATCAGTGCAGAAGGCACGGCCCGTGTTCTAAAGGGATGACTCCCTGGGGGAAAGGAGACCTGCTGAGCTCGTACATTTTAACATTCTTCCTCGTTCATTTAACATTAGAGTTGGGCACGTCCCCATGTAATTAGTCTTTTCAAAAATCACTGTTGATGACTATATAATATTCTATCATGGATATGAACCTTAAGTTTATTATTCATTTTCTTCCTGTTGATATTTTTATTGTCCTCCACATTTTACAGCCCCTAGACAGACATGGCACTGCAGAGACGATTGTGATACATAAAAGGTATGTTTGGATAATTATTTGGAGGCAAAGTTGGTAATAACAGTAACAACAAAAGCTGAAACTTACCAGCCTCAGCCAGTGCTGCAGCCACTTCGTTCTGCGTGGAGTAGATGTTGCAGGCAGACCAGCGGCACTGGGCCCCCAGCGCACACAGCGTCTCAATCAACACCTGCGGAGACGAGACGCACAGGAGCCGGGGTGAGGACGAGGCGGGGCGGGGCATGGAAGAGAACCTACCCAGCAACGCTGCAGCAACAGTGCCACCAGGGTGTCATCCAGCGAGGCAACACACTGGTGTCTAACGTTACCCAAAAGCTACGTTCCTAAAAGTCTTAGTATCACTTCTATATCAATCCTGTTTTTGCAAAGCTCGATCTCCCTAACTCAGGTTAGCTGAAAGTCGGCTGCACCCGTACAGAGTAGAAAGCCCCATTACGGAGTAACCGCCTCCTAGGATAGCATTTGGAGGCCGGACAGATTGGGAGGAAAAGGAAGTTTATAAAAAGTTGTTATTCCCCCCTCATCAGAAGTCCCTCTGTTTTCTCCCAACAAACTCACCGCAGTCTGGGCTGTGATGTGTGTACAGCCCACTATTTTAGCACCAGCCAAGGGCTTCTCCCCCTGAGCGCGTTTCCTGAGTGAAATCAGAGCAGACATGTCTGTGAAAGAACAGAGGATTTGAGCTAGGTCTGCACTGGCAGGCTCACAACTCCTGCCCAGCGACAGCGGGGGCGGGTCTGGATCTGCTGGGATACGGGGAGACAAGGTAGAGAAACCCAGCAGAGTTCTGATCTGCTAACTGGCAGCTTCAACACATCAGTGGGGGGTTGTCATCCAATCACTTGGGATTTCTGCCTTCTATGCAGAGGACTGAGCAGAGAACGAAGTAAATTCTCAAAACTGACCAAACGGAGGGTGAGTGTCATCATGCACTTGGGAGAGGGCAGCCGTCATGGCAGTGGCCCTGGGCTCCTGCATATGCCCATCGCACCAGGAAGAAGCCTGCCCCCGCAGAGCCCCAGGCTTCTGTCTGGCCGTGCCGTCCAACCCAGCCCAGTCTCCCTCCCAGTACAGCACAGGCTTCCAGTGGGAAGGCAACACCAGAGTGAGGAGGCCTCACTGGGTGTGGGTGCCGCAACCAAGATCGGACAGTCACTTTCACTCTTGCTCCAGCAGAGGGTGCTCAGGACCCAAGACCAACCGCGCCCTAGGTCCCCACATCCTGCTGA